AGGCCCTTACTGGAGCAGCGGGTAGAGGCTGCCCAGGAGCCTGGCTCAGATCTGGCTTAGCCCAACCTCCCCCCTGAGGTCCAATCCCTGCACCTGCAGGTCCGACCGGCAGGCCAGGTTCCCACACAGGGCCAGCTCCTGCAGTGCTGGCCACAGCTCTGCTACCGTCTCTGCCAGTGTCCGTGGCACAGCTACTGCCTGCCTCCGCCCCCCCTGCAGTGCTGGCCACAGCTCTGCTACCGTCTCTGCCAGTGTCAGTGGCACAGCTACTGCCTGCCTCAGCCCCTCTTGCAGGGCAGCCGCACGCCTGGAACAGAGGGACAGGGTCAGGTAGTGAGCCAAAGTGAGACAGGATGACCACTTAGTTCCAAAGCACATGGGGGGGCATTGAAAGGTGACAAGACCCTGGGAAGGTGCCCAGTACCCAGATCCTGGTAATACAAATTCCCCAGTGCCAAGGCTGGCTCGAGTGTATGTGTGTGTGTGGAAGGGGGACCTGGCCACTGCAATGCTCACCTGTCTCTGTCCTCAGGGGTGTTCTTGGGCAGCTTCATTGCTTCCTACCAAGAAAATACACACACACACACACACACACACACACACACACACAAAGGAGCAAGTGGTCATGAGGAAGGACCGTGTCCAGGCCATATGGTGTTCCCGGGGCAGGCCAAGGGCCACTGGTCATCCACTCCTCCATGTCAGTATTTCCCTCTAGGGGCTCAGGCCACAAGGGTAGACAAGTTTTGGGGGAAGGTGCTTCTGCTGGGTCTGGGGCTTGCAGCCCTCAGCATTGACCCAGGAGCAGAGGGTGCCTTGCTAGGTTGTCAGAGACATAGGCTAGGTGAGAGGAGGCCCTGTTCCTCATGAGATAGAGGGCCCAAGAGGTCCCCTGAATCCTCACAACCTATAGGCCCAGGGCAGCCTGAGCTCTCCCTCCTGCTGCCAACTCCTCCAGGCCAATACCACCCAGAAAGAGTACAAGCAACTGTGCCACCCCTGCCTGGTGGGAGAAGCTAGGTTTGCACAGTGGGACTAAGAGCACACCTGAAGCCCCTGCACCCTCCACTTATGTTCTGTCCAAGCTATGGGCTCTGGCATCTCCCAAAGTTGCACCCCAGTCCTTCAGGCAAGGAACTGAAGCGAGAGGGGCTCAGCTGGTCCCCCACAGCAGTGCCCACCTGCTGATCTGCAGGGAGGCCAAGGATGGGGGTGGGGGATAGCTCATCCTGGTCTTGGTCAAACGTCCATCAGCCGCGGGTGAGAGCAATTGTCGGCTGGTGGAGTGGGGTCGGCCCTTCATTCTAACAGCAGCAATGGGAGAGCAAAGCACCTGTGTGCTCCCTACGGACTGGCAGCGGCCCTTCCAGCTGCCCTCTCCGCTTGTCTTTTGGGGTCAGGAGCAGTTCTGGGCAACGGCAGGAAACGCCCCTGACAGTTACATGTGCGTCTCCCCAGGGCAGAGCCGTGGACTTCAGTGCAGTCTTTCCACAGCCACACCGTCCTCCATACACCAGCGAGCTCTGGCCTCTGATTGACATGAGGTTTGCAGTTTGGGGGATACTTGGCTAGCGTTTAGCTCCATCTACAAATTACTTACATGTTTGCTGCAAGAAAAGCTGTTTTTCTTATTGTTTTCAAAAGTGTCTTCTATTGCTCACGGGGAGCCCTCTATTGCTCACGGAGAGGCCCCTGCATTTCCAGGTCTGGCCTCTCACCTCAAGCCCTGGGCCCCAGCCCTCCCTAAACCTCCTCTGTTGTTTCTCAGTTGAACCAACTACCCCTCCAACCTGAGAGCTTCCGAGACTCCAGTCCACACCTTCGTTCGGACTAGTGCTGTTCGTGGGCCCTGTCCTTCCTCCAGGCCTGGGAGGTCTGGATCCTGCACATTTGTGGGGCTTGGAGGGCTGGAGACCTGAGGTGTCCATTTTCTCCCTCCTACCCCTTGGCCTCTGTCACCACCTGGGAGTGAGGAACATCCTGGTCCTAACCCTCAAGCCCCACTGGACCCATGAGTGAGGGATCACCCTGGTCCTAACCCTCAAGCCCCACTGGACCCTGGCGTTGCAGGAGCAGGGGAAGGTGGGGCTGCAGCTGCCCCCAGGCTACCCTTCCTGCCTGCTGTGACCCTGCCTCCACTCCCCACTGACCCTCCTCTCCTCAGGGCCCTGGCTGGGGTCTGCCGTCTGCATTGGGACATGGGGCAGGCAAGGCTACTGGCTAGACTCACCATGTAGGCAGCAAAGGCCTCAGCATCGGCATCCACTAGCGCAGTCAGCTTGCTCATGGCCATGTGGAAAGGTGGGATCAGGCGCCTCATTGTCGCATCCAAGTGCTCAAACTGGCGCCGCCCATAGGTCATCTGGCCTACCATGGAGGCCAGAGCTGCACCCTGGGCAAGGGGCAAGCTGTGTGGGGACAGGGAGCCAGGCCAGGTGTCCACCCCCACCCCCACCCCTAGACAGTCACAAAGAGGACCAGCTCTAGGTCCTCCTGTAGCAGGACTGGGAAGCAGGGGGATCTCCAGCAGGGGACTCCACACATCAGAGTCCTGGCACTTACCATGGCTGCAGCAACAGCAGCCACTGAGCCACCCCCAGGGGCCGCTGAGCGGGCACCTACGTCCCCAATGAAGGCACGTAAGGACTTGCTGACTAGGCTCTTCTCAGGCTGGCCCTCATCAGGCACCAAGTACCTGCAGGGTCAAGGAACCCTCAGTGAGGAGCCTGGGTTGTGGAGTCCCCACACAAGGTCTTCCCTAGTTCACAGAGCAGGCAGCAGGCTGAGAGCCCACCCCCAGGGGCCGCTGAGCGGGCACCTACGTCCCCAATGAAGGCACGTAAGGACTTGCTGACTAGGCTCTTCTCAGGCTGGCCATCATCAGGCACCAAGTACCTGCAGGGTCAAGGAACCCTCAGTGAGGAGCCTGGGTTGTGGAGTCCCCACACAAGGTCTTCCCTAGTTCACAGAGCAGGCAGCAGGCTGAGAGCCCACCCAGAGCTCATGTGAGGACACCGCCCCCAGACCCAGCCTTGGCACAAACTGCTGAATGAATACAAAACCAAGGGAAGGTACCGGAAGGACCAAGTCACACAGATCAATGGGGGAAGGCAGGGAAGGAGTAGGGGAGAGGGAGGAGAATGAGGAGCTAAGGAAGGCAGGCAGGGGCACAGGATGGGTGTGGCCAGAGGCTCGCTCACTCAATGATCCGCTCCTTAGGGTTGAAGGGGGACAGGGAGTCCAGACCCAGACGGTTGACCACCTAGAAGAAGGGGCACATAGGTTAGGTGAATCTCTCCAGGAAGACACTGAGAAAGGCCATAGCACATGCCAGCCCCTCAGCTAGCAGTGGCCACTCCCATCCTGGACAAGTTCAGCCTTTGTGGGGAGCAGGTTAGGGCCACGGCCAACGACACTCCCCTACGAGTAGCCCGGCCTGGAACAGGTTGCTGTACAGACTCATGGATACATCCATCCACCCTGTGTTACCTAACCATGGGGAAACTGAAGCCCAGGGAAAGGATTTGTCCCGAGGATCCCTCAGCACACTAAACCTCGTAATCTATGGATGCACCACAGTCTCAGCCCATTTCTGGGATGATCCCACCAAAGGCCTCCTTGGGCAATTCAAGTTCTTTGCGTCATTTTCTAACAGATTGTTAAAACCTAAGAACAGCCCAGATTCACCTCAACATAAAACTCAGAAGAAAAGTGCATCTTACCTGAAATTGAGAAAAGTTTTAACAATTCCATGTAAGATTAGACTCCATCCTGTCAGAAACCATTCAGACCACTGCATGGCGCCATGTGCCAGCAGTACAGTCCCCTTATGCTGAGCCAGACAGGCCCCATTTTGCACAAAGAGTAACAAGTGGCAAGAGCTGAAGGAGCACAACTTACCCCCAAACAGTCCAGGAAAGAAAATGCACAATTATACGCAAGTACAGAGAGAGAACGCTAAAGGAAATAGGGCAAAACGCAAACAGTTGGTAGATCTGCATAAAGGACATAGCAGTGCCTTGTTCTAATCTCGCACCTTTCCTCTGAATAGAAAACTATACAAAGTAAAAGGTTACGAAGAATTTGTAACAGCCAAGAGTAGAGTAGACTTGGCCATAAATTCTATCAGTGACTGAAAGGCTAGGTTTGAGAAAACAGGGAATACAAGGAGAAAGATGGTAGAGAACATGGAAAAGACCAAAAATGCTACTGCAGTACCATTGGTATCCCTAAAACTAAAGAAATAAGTAACGGTGTCAAAAGTATAATAGAAGAAAATATTCTTGAAACCAAATAAGAACAGATTCTATGAATCACAAGGAACACTGCTCCAAGGGGGAAATTATGCAGACTAATCAATGCCAAGACCTCCCTGGTAGAGTTACTGAATTTCAAAGATAAAGAAGGAATAATTCAGGCCCCAAGGAGAAAGAACAAGAAACCTGAGGTTGGAGAACAACTAGGCTGGCCTTAGACCTCCCACAGTGACATCTAATTTCAGAAGATGATAAAGTTATGTTTGCAGTGTTCCCAGAGAAAAACAGAATTTAAATTTTCCAACCATCTTGCAAGGAAAAAGCACAGAAAGACATTCCTGTCTTGTCAGAACCTACAGGTCCCTTTAAAAGGGTCTTTCTTTAAAACTTTGCTTGTTCAGCCAGCAGGGGGTATGGAGGTTAAGGAAGACCAGATCCCACATGGTCAACCCTGCGGTTTCAGTCCCAGACCTAGTGGCTTGAAAATCATATTAGGCACATGTGCATGCATGCCCAAAATCCCAAGATGAAAGTGGAGGAGAAGGGATTGCAGGGTGGTCATTCTCCTCGGGGGTGATTTCTCACTTTCCCTCTATTTCTCTCTATCTCTCTCCAGTGAGGTAAGTCCCTATAGCTGAAAACAAACAAAAACAAACAAAAAACTGCTTGATCATGAAATCGAGCATCAGATGAATAACAAGGCTGGCCTGAAAGGACAGGGATGCATATTGATCTCATTGACATGGAGCACTAAGATTCTGTATCGATGGATATGTAATATGTTTACTGTGTATGGATTTGGTTAAAGCAGGTTAATGCTAAAAATATGATAATATAAAAATCATAGCCATTTAAATCTGGAGCAGAGATATCTGTTCTAATGCAAGTGCACTAATTTCTTTAACAGGAGTCAATAAATATTGTCCAATATCCAATGGACATTGTCAACAACATTGTCCAGTGTTGATAAAGCAAGAACTAAAGGATTAAGTATTAATATTTTTTTATTTATTTTTATTTTTTGCTATAGGGCATGTGTGCTCACTGGAAAGAGACAGAGGAGAACATAAGAAATCACTCTCCAGGGGAGATGGTCATGCCACAATCCCTTCTTCTCCATCCTTTTAGGATTTGGGGCATACATGCACATGTGTCCAGCATAGTTTTTAAGCTTCTGGGTCCAGGACTTGAACTGCAGAGTGGACTGCACGGGATTCAGCCACCTTAACCTCCATGCCACCTGCTGGTCCACATAAAGTGTATATAAACTCTAATATCAAAGCATGAAAACCATCTCCCCAAAAATCTTATATATATGTATTTTTTAGTTTTTTTGCCATGGGGCATGTATGTTTGCTAAAAAGAGACAGTGAGAAGGAAAGTGAGAAATCACCCCCCAGGGGTAATGGCTATACTCCAGTCCCTTTACCTCCAGTCTCCTCTCAGAATTTTAAGCACATATATGCATGTGCCCAGCATGATTTTCAAACTGTCAGGTCCAGGATTTGAACTGCAGTAGCCATGTGGGAGTCCAGTGCCTTAATCACCATGACACTTCCTGGCTTCTGTATTATTATTTTTAAAATTTGTTATAGGGTACATGTGCTAGTCAGAGACAGAGGGAGAAGGAGAAGGAGAGAAAATGAGAAAGCATTCCCCCCAAGGAGTGGCCATGCCATGACCCCTTCTCCATTTTCATCTCAGGATTTTGGGCACTCACTAATTTTTTGTTTTTTGCTTTTTCCAAGCAGCTGGGTCCAGGACACAAATCACTCACTCGGCCGTTTGGGATCTAGCCACCTTAACCACCATGCCACTGGCTGGCCCAAGTATATTATTTGAACTTAAAAATTTAAAAACCCCTTCCCCACAAAATATAACTTAAATCAAAACATAGAGAAGAAAAGATATGAGTAAATACTATGTGTATTCATTTTCCCATTTTCGTTGCAAGTAGTGCAGATAATCTAAAATTAAGAAATTAAAAAATCAAGACAAGTATGTGGAGTTATTAAGGTAACAACCAAAATGCCTACAAGTAGACTCTAGCCCTCCCATGTGACCAGAAGGAAGCCACACCTACACACCCTCCATATACCAAAATAGGATGAAAGAAGTTTAAGTCCACAAAAATCAGTTAATACAAATGGGATAAGTCA